TGTCTTTTTGTTTTCTCTACACACTTCCTGGGAAGGTAATTTTGTCAGAATCCTCCAATTAACCTACAGTACAGGTCCGATTAGTGTGAAGTCCGCTGGGCAAACACCCGAGGAACAAGCCAGGGAGGCTGAGAAGACAACCAGCAGGAATCCATGTGTGTGCACAACTCCACAACCCAGCAGACAACGGGATATATAATACTGGCACAGATTTTGTCTTTCATCCAAAGGAGAGTTGGGGCTACAGATGAATATTACTGTCATCTCACATGTAAGATCTCACATGTTAGCTTATGCTGGTGTGTGTAGGTGCTTGTGTGTCCATGCATGTGTGTTTGTGTGTAGGTATCTGTGTGTGAGCAGACTGTATTTGAGTGTGTTTGTGTGCATGTGTGTGTATTTGCATGTGTGCCTGCATGTGTGTGTTTATGTTTTCGGTGTGAACAAATTATTTTTAAGTGTGTGCGTATGTGTGAGTATTTCCGAAAATAGCATTCCCTTCCTTTATGTGAGAGAGTGTCACATTTCCTGGGAATTTTCTGACACTGGGGAACTAATTTCACCTGTTTTGTGTGTGTTTTTCCAACTGAGAAGGAGGTGGAAACCTTTCTTTATATCATTGCCCAAGGACATACTGTTCTCCTTGATCACCAACACACTGTCCCGCAAATTCACTCCTCCAGCACAGCCACTCTCAGGGGGCTTGTTTACAAAACGCGTGGAAGAGAGAAACACTGACTGGGATTGAAGGACAGCACACAGGATGTTTGCGTAACGAGCAAACAACTAAGAGCGCATCTCAGCTCTACAGGTCCTTGCTTGGAGACTGAGGGGCGGACGGTTTTCACATCTCTGCCTGCTGCAAACTGACCCCTGCAATGCAGCCAGCTCTGCGTGTGAGGGTGTCTGCTCTGAGCAGCAGCACCGCATGGTCCCCGCTGCAGGAGGGCAGGCCAGCATGTCACGTCATATCTGCCACCTGCGACTGGGTCATTCTTTCTACATGCGAGCTTTCATACAGTTCATGCATGCTGCTCAGGTACATGTGCAAGATTTCTGAATTGAGCGGGTGTTTCTGAGAGTTGCAGAGAACAGGGCACAGAGTGAAACGTGAACCTCACCAGTGCTCCTGCTCAGACTTGAATTCCACACGATGAAACCAGAGAGCTCCAAAGGAGAGAATTTGCATGTCCTCAGGGTTGCTCAGCCTGTCTCGCCTCTTCTGTCTTTTGCAGCTCTTCTAATTTAACTGCTCTGTTTTTCACTGGAAAAAATGCCACACTTAACTTGATTCACGAAACACCCCCGTCATTTGTCAGAAAGATGCTTATTCCTCGTAATGGCAGATAAGAATGTTAAATGACACGTATAAGTTGTAGATCTAGTTTGTTTTATAATCTACAAAAATAGTATTAAGGGGCAGGGTGGTACAGCGGTTGGCATTGTGTCTCGCAGTGCTGGGGCCCTGGGTTCAGTTCTTGGGGTGTTTTCTGTGTAGTTTGTATAATCTTCCTGTATTTGCATGGGATTTCTCTCACAGTCCAGACATACAGTATACTGATTTTATATACAAATTGATTGTGTGCAATACAATGGTTTCAACTCTCCTTGACAGTATTTTCTATTGACCATTAGGGGTGTAAAGAACACTCCACTCTGGCCTCCCAAATCCCTGACCATTTACCTTCACTATTTTAACAGTCCATTGATTGGGAACCTGTTGACCCCCTGTGGTGTCCATTTGCATCCTGGCCGGCTGTGTGACTGTTTCGGAGCCTGAGGCTGTTCCAGAGCTCCTCCTGTTCCGGGGTCCACCCGTCTGGTCCCGGTCATTCCTCTGCTCATCAGTATTGAGAACCACAGCCTGACAAATATTGAGACACAAGTCTGGCCAGGTTCTCTAGCGCCTGGCTGAGGTTGCAGAAGAAGAGGCGGCCCAGCTGCAGGGCGAAGTGGGGTACATCTCTCCTGCCGCTCTCCGCCGCCCCGGCAGACCTGATTCCCGGTGAAGAACTCGCCTGGGTCCGAGTCCAGACGGCGGCGGCTTCACCGAAGCC